TTCCTCGAGCAGGTTCTGAGCTGTCCAGCCAGCTCTGCAGAGAGAGCAGAGACAGGAGTCTCAGACCAGCTGCTGGGAACCGGACCCTAATTCTTCCAAAGTGAACCTCTTAGACCTCTAGCCCCTTCAGGACTACTCTATACTTACATGTGTGTGAGAGAGTAATACAGCTCTCTAATGTTGTAGGTGTGATCCTGAAATAGTTTCCTCCACTAAACGTTACTCAAATCGATTCAAATGAACCAAAAAAACCAAACCCGTTGCCGTCTAGTGACCCTCCAGGACAGAGTAGAACTGCCATATAGGGTTTCCGAGGATCAGCTGGTAGATTCGCGCTGCCGACCTTTTGGTTAGCAGCCAAGCTCTTAACCACTGCGCCACCAGGGCTCCGATTCAACTGAAGAGGGAATGAAAAGCTGTGTGAAATCAATCACGCAACAGCTTACTTTTCTACAGAAAACGTGACCTCCATTTTTGCCCACTTCGGCAGGTATGAGAATACCCAGCCATTGTCGGGGTGTCTACACCATTCCTGGAAAAGACAGGTTGCCTGAGAACCAACAAATGAGACAACCATCTGACCAGGTCCCCTATCAGCAGGGGAGCACTGAGCTCTCTCTTCCCGTGGACCTTCTGACTCCTAACACCAGGATTCCTGGTAGCAGTCCCATGGAAGAAGTTAAGATGTAAGGGCATCTAACCTACCAGGACCAGAATTTTTCTATCAAACATCCCCTTCCTGCTTAGACTTCTCTAGTGTCTGTCTCCCCTCCTTCCTCTCCTGCAATGCACTAAACCTTAAGTGTGAACACAGGGTGGACTCTAAACAGCTCTACTCACTTACTGTCTCGTTTTGCTTTGCAACAGCTAACACAGTGATGGGGGCTGAAGAAGATGCCGCAAACGAAATGCCAGTGCTTCTGACGGTGACAACATCCACCAGTCACAGAGTTTGCGTAAAAGACAGAAGTTGTGCCATGAAAGTAACTTTGCTGAACAGAGTATGGGATCTCAGGAGACTCTCAAATATGAATCACACTGTCAGCGTAGAGTCTACACTGTAGATAACCTAACGTCTTCTTAAAAGGACTTTTTAGTACGCAAATGCAGAATATTCAATAACCCAGAAGTCTGAGTTCGCTGAAGAATTACTGTGAGCTACATCTGCAAATGCACAAAAATTAAACTTAGAGGAATAAGACCTCTCAGTTCTTTTATACTTAACCTGTGAAAGCTCGACTGCTTTGTATCCCAGCTGTAAAACCAGTCATGGATCCTACTGTGTAGAAATAAGCAGAAATAAGCCAGAATGCCAGCGCCAAAGAAACGCATCAGCATCTCAGCTTTAACCGTGCTATAATGAAAAACGTGCACGAGGGGACAGGGCATAAGGAAAGACGTTGCCTTCTCTGGTAAAGAGCAGATCTCGGCCCTCAAACTTCAACTCCCCTCTAGACATTTCCCACCTAAGCCTCACCTTATCTTCTGCCCCAAAACAGCAGTCTCTCTAGCCTTTATTTTCAAAGGTAACACCAACATTTCTCCAGTCACTCACGCACAAAGCTGTAGTATGATCACTAAACCCATGAAGGAAGTCAAAACTGCTCTTCGTCCTCGCCGTGTAATACCCCTCATATTCACTCTTCCTTCCCATCTCCATTCCTACATTCTTGTTCAAGAAATTATTGCTTAAACCTGAGTTTCCCACTAAGGTTTTCTTGGCATCCCACAGCCAAATTCACAGTCCAAAACATTATCTTGGACAAGTCACCCAAACTCTTGAAAAAATATTTATGAATCTGGCAATGGGGCCAACACAGACTTATCCTTATGGGCTCAGACAAGCACCTTCCCACAAGTTTCTGGACACCAGGGCTCAGGATCAAGGTTCCCTGTGTTTGCCACTTTTTGTCATCCTTTCCTTTCCCGTGGTGATCATCAAATCCTTGAAAAGAAAATGGCGTCTGACTCGTTTTCACAGACAACCAGAGGAAGCTGGGCAGGCTGCAATCTACACCATAGCCAGCCCTGGAGGCGAATGAATCCAAAAAAATAGAGTAAGCGGGCACAACTTAGAAAAAAGAAGAATGAACCAACTCCCTGGGCCTATGGGTACATGAGGAAGAAGGCTGAGATGTTGAGCCCAACAAAAAACCAAACTCATTGCCATCGAGTCGATTCCGACTCATAGCGACCCTATAGGGCAGAGGAGAACTGCCCCATGGAGTTTCCAAAGAGCACCTGGTGGATTCGAACTGCCAACCTTTTGGTGAGCAGCCATAGCTCTTAACCACTATGCCACCAGGGTTTCCATGGTGAGCCCAGGGGAGCTGAACTTCGAAAGAGGACTTGTGAAGACTTCAGAATGAAATCCAAATGTCTTACCCTACATTAATTTCCACCTAGTAAGTAAGAGGAAGCATATATATAAAAGGAAAATTAAGCATAAGCTAGCTATACCAAGCACATAAAGCCAAGTGCCTCAAGAGTTCAGAGGAAGAACCACAAAATTAAGAACTCAGGCAGCAGAAGTCAGGATTTTTAACTCAATCTTGAATGAATGTTCAGAGCATTCAGGGAATAAGTCAACGATCCATTTGGCTGAAACAGAGAACACCAAGAGATAAGGCAGATGCAAGAGAGTGTATGTAGATTATTGTCTTTGGGTCTCATTCACTTTTCATGTGCTTTTGCCTTGTCTCCCTACCTAGACTGTCAGTTCAGAGGCCAGGGACCACTGTAATTTGTTAACCTATTACTTAAGTGTCAGTCCTAAGAGCTCAGAAAAGGTTGGTAACAATTTTCCTGTATTTAATTTCAGAACAGCCTGTAGCACTGATGTATTTTGAATTCAGATTTTTTTAAATATCAGTACTGAAAATGGGAAGACTTCCTGGAATGTTAAGAAATTAGAATCCATAAATTAAAACAAGAATTTTCAAGCACCCAGACACTCTTAAAAAAAAAAACACTCTAAGAACAATACATTTTTCAAAACTGGAAGGTCCTCAGAATTGAATATTTTTTTAAAATTTTGAACTGCTGGGATCATCTAGAGGGGGAGGCAAAAGAATGGAAAGTCAGATGGAGTGACAAGCAGTTTTAAAACGGGTTTACAATCAGTTTTTAAACAGTAATCCCTTTGGGAAACGAAAATTCCTCTCCTTAACCCTCTTGAGGGCAATATAACATTTGAATCAAGAACACGTACACTTTGCTTCTACACAGATTGAAATGTGAACCTTTCACTCTTACAGTGCCCTCTACGTTAAACAGCAAGTAGCAGAGAGGGCAATTTCTAACCTATCCAAACAAGAGGCAGCCGGCATTCTGGACGTAGATCGTGTATTTTCTAGACTCATAAGCAAAGAGGGTTCAGTAAGACGCAATCACGGAAATTCAAGATTTTAGGTGACAAGGTTTACTTAACTGGAGCTTGTTCCTGTGAAATGAAACTACCAGAACCCCTCGTTATCAATTTGCTTGTCAGTAAATTTGACTTAGAAATGCTAACAGGATGGAACCACAAGCCTTTTATTAAACCGTGATGACCATGGAGAGCGCCCTTGAAGTTTAGCAACAGAGGATTCAACCCTATAGGGTTCCCCTCTGGAAAGTGAGGGCAGGTCTGACACATACCCCAGCACCAGTCCTAAAATGCTCAACTGCATTTCCCATAAAAGGTGGGAGTTGTGACACTAGCCGATTGCAGACTCCAGCCCACTAGAAGCAGATGGAACCCACTACCTCATTTTACCCAAACCTTTAAAAAGGTCCACAGAAATGTCTCTCCTTGCCAAAGCAAGGCAGATCTGAATGGGTGAATATAAGAAGGAAAAGCTTCACACGGGATTACTAACAGTGATTTCATTTGCCTACTATAGCCTCAATGCAAAACAGGATCTGAAAAAATGAAAAGCAATTTGAAAGTCCCATTCTCCATGTTCAAGCTAAACACACCCCTCCCCCCCCCCATAAAAAACCATGATCCAAAAGCTTTATTTTACAAAAGAAACTCTCTTAACACAGAGATGCTTCCAGAAGGGGAATCTAGCTGGAAACATTCCCTGCTTATGTACATAATGCACTAGACGTCAGGTAAGATTCCATTTTGTAAGAGCTGAACTTTAAACAGAAAGTCGCTAGTGGTGCAACATTCACTTATTAGCATAAAGTTACCCCTAGAATGAAAAGCGTTGGCTGTCCCTGCCAAGATGACAACTTTACAGTGAGAAGCTGGGGCCGTGGACCATGAACTTCTGGAAAGTTCTATCAGGGCCTCGGAAGCCTGAGCTTGCCACTTCTACCAGCCTAAACTTAGCTGCCATCCCATTCTTCCTTCCGTATAGACAGGGCATCCCTAACGCAGAAAATTAATTTAAAAAAGAAAAGATGAGCCAAAGGGTCAACAGCAGGCAATGCCTTGCAGGGCTGACATGATTCCCGTTTGGGATTGGGGGAAGGGGAGGAACATTCTGGATGTTTCTATTCTTGGCAAGGGACGCTCCTCCAGATCCTGTACATCAGAAGACACTAAAACACAAATGTTCTCAAAGAAAGAAACGATGTGCCTGTGTTAAGCGATCTCATCCTGGGGTGTGATGATGGGGAGGACGGCTGGATGGCTGGCGGGGAGACGGGAAAGGTGTGTTTGACTAAGGGAGAGAGGAGGAAAGTGTGGACGGATAAGGGGGATCAGGGAAGGTATGGATGGTTAAGAGGAAGGGGGAAGGTGTGGATGACTAAGGGAGGTGGGGGAGGGTGTGGATGGCTCAGGGGAGTGGGGAAGATATGGATGGCTAAGGAGGGCGGGGGAAGGGGTGGTCGGCTGGGGGGTGCGGGGATGGCCATCAGCCCCCCCCCCCCGTGGAGCGGCAACCAAGGCAGGCCATAGGGCGCGCCCTCCCCAGTCTCCTCCCTAACCCCCCTTTCTGTGGGCGTGTGCCCGGCGGCGCGTGTGCAGGGGCCAGGCCACAGGCCGCAAGGCCACCACCACTCACCCCACGACTCCCTGGTTGTAGTTCCTCCGCTTCCACGGGGTACCGCTGTACACGCCCCCGCTGCCGTCCGCCCGGCCTGCCCCCGTGGCCCGTGCTCCGCTGGGCTGCAGCAGGCTGTAGTTGAGTCCGTAGGTGCTGGCCTTGTTGTCGCGCTTCCTCTTGTTGCTGCTGCCCGAGGCCGGGTCGGCGGGCTCCGCGCTGGGGGCAGCGGCCGAGGCGTGGGGGGACGGGG